GCTATTGAAAGCCAACTTGATATTTCCAGCATCTAAGGTAGTTGATCGTTTAGTTGAACTGATTATTGCCACAAAATCTTCAAATGTAGTATTTACTTCAACTACAAATCCTTTATCCTTTAGAATGTCTTTTATTATCTTTTTTTCATCGTGATAACGTGCTTTAAGATCCTCAACATAAAACTTGAAAAGATCAAGGGCAGTTGATCCAGGCTGACCAAGCATATTAGTAAATCTAATGTCAGAACTAATGGTTGGATACAGTTCCATCCAAGATGACATAGAATGTAGTTGTCCATGTTCATGTAGTTCATCTAAACATATCTGGAAAGATTCCCTATTTTTACGCTGCCGTCGCCTTTCTCTCAGCAAGCTTTTCTGCTTTTCTTCTTCCTCCTCCTTTTCTAAAGCCCGAATGTGTTCTTCAAAGCAAATTAATGCATCTTCTTTGTCCATGTTCTGTAACTCTTCATCTTCTGCAAAAGTTGGATTATCCATTAGATACTGCTGGGCCTCTGACCAAGTAGTAGAGTACATTACATTAGCCATATTTTCAAGTATGTTTTTTAAGGCTTCCCAATTTCTCTTTCGCAACTGCTTTGCTTGTTCCTTTTCTTTTTTTGACAGAAAGAATAAAACATCCTCATAGATTTCAAGACGATCACGTTCAGATATTGCATTCCAGACTTCCATCTCTCCAAACATTTGTTCTGCTTTTTTATATCTGGTTGTAGAGGTCATTTTCTCATGATTTTCTAGAAAACGCTGAAAGGATTCCTTAGCTTCTTTGTATTTTGATCTTGCTTCTTCTTTTTCCTCTTTCTCTCTCTGTACTTTATAGGCATTAAAGGCCTGCTTTTTCTCACTCAATTTTGCTAACGCACTGTATCGTGGATCATTAATGATCATCTTCATAGCTTGCTCCCATGAAGCATTGGATGGTACCCGCTTTTCTTTTAGTAATTCTTTGAATGTGTGCTTTGCCTCTTCCTTCGTATTCTAAGTATAAGTTTTTTTTGCTGGTTGGTTCTCTTCCTCTTCTTTTTTGGGAGTAAAATTTGCTACAGCTTCCAGCTTAGATGTTTCTTCTACATTACTAGATACTTCAACACTTAGATCCTGAATAGTAGAGGTATTAGTAAGCTGTGCTTGTTCTTCAGTTGAAATATTTACTGTATTTTCATTATCTACAACAGTTGCAACAATGGAAGTAACTTCAGGTTCAGGAACAACTGGAACAGTTCCCACACTATTAGTAGTAGAAGTGGAAGCACTAGCATTGGCTGCTGCTGCAGCTGCTGCAGCTGCAGCTGCAGCTGCTGCAGCAACAACAACAGCTGCGGCTTCTGCAGCAGCCATGGTGGTCATAGTAGTAGGAATTTCTGTTGTAGGAACTGGAGCTGCTGATGTGCTGCAATCTTCTTGTTTGCTGCTTTCTTCAGCTTTGATCATGGCATGCAGGTTTGATTTTGTAATAAGATCTCTAGCAACAATGGTATTCTGGTATCCTTCAAGATCCTCAAGTTCTTTAGGTTTGGCCCAGCGCGATTCTTTTGTTTGAGAATTATAATAATAAGGCTTTCCAGAATCAGACTTATATTCCTTCCAAGGGCATTTAGATAAGAGTTGCTCAGCAGGCATTTTAAGATCATCTGGTTTCTCCCAGGTGGGCTGTTTCGTTTCAGTATTGTAGTAGTAAGTTCTTCCATCAGGTGATTTATGTTCAGTCCACATTGATTTTACACCAGATGCTGCACCTGCTGCTGCATCCATACTATTTACTCCTGGCGGTAAGGCAGGTTGCATGGAAGCCTGAGACATATGAGACATCATCATTCCAGGCATTACTGAGGACATCATTCCAGGCATTTGTCCCATTGGTGGCCCTCCCATAGGGGGCATCATTTGTGGCATCATTCCATGAGGTACAGGAGGCATATTTGCTCTCTGACCCATTGGGTGCATTCCCATCGGTGCATAATGCATGCCAGGGTGCCCCATCATGAGGCCTCCACGCTCGGCTCCCGTCCCCGGCCTCATTGTCGGGCTCAGACTTAGAGGTATAGTTTGAATGGGGCAAAAGTTTACAAGGAATGGCTGATGAGATAGCTCAGTGGTCTAAAGCGCCTGCTTAGGCAAGCTTAGGAAGGAGCAGGGGACTGCAGTTCGATCCCCCCACATGCCACGGTAGCCCTGCTCTCAGGGTGGTCTAAGCCAGTCAAAAAAAAAAAAGTTTGCAACGAGTTTGCTCTGATCCTGAGCAGCTTCAGGGACAGCTGTTGCTGAGTCCACGGCAGGGAATGAGGGTGGTGCCTTCTAAACTTCCCAGTACCCAGCTAGAAGTAGAGGAAACCAGAAGAGCTGTTCGATCCTGAAAGACCTGGTTGTTTAGACTTATTAGGCTGAGAAAATTCCAAAATCTGGAGGATCCATGACTGTGTTTTCTATTTTTATTTTGCCCAGATAGGTTAATTGCAAAACAGACACAGCCACTGCCTACTTTACAAAGTAGGACTTACTTTTTTTGGAGCTGGGTCACGCTGTGTTTGCCAGGGTGGTCTGGAGCTCTGGGGCACCTGTGATGCTTTGATTTCACGTTCCAGGTGCTGGGTCAGTGTGTGCCACCACACCCAGCTAAGAATGTTTCAGCAGCAAAAAGTGAGATGGTTCGTAACCAAAAAAGTCAATATTTATAAAGCACTTCTTTTTGTTTTCAAGGCAGGGTCTCACTTTACTGTGTTGCCCAGGCTGGCCTCAAACCTGTGTTGGCTCACCTGCCACAGCCTCTTCAATATTTGGATATAAGGCACTTATTATGTTCAATTTAGTTTTTTTTTTTTTT